GGCAATGTGTGTCATGTGTGGTCCACTGGGGTGGAATCACAGCACTGCACCATAGCTAGGAATTCCTCTTGAAGGATGGCGCGACTCCTGTGAACCATCTTGAGCTAAAAGAAATAAAAATGAGTGGGTTCAGGAACAGAGAAAAGGCCCGCCTCTTTTATGGAGAGGCCTGGAAAAGGTGAAGGTTGGGAGTGTTGGCCTGTCCCAGTGTACAGACTGCCCCATGTAGAATGGGGCTGAACTGGTGACCCTCTGAATGCCTGTCCTGAAGCAATATATTTATCACTTCAGTATAAGTGTCATGTCCTGAAGCTATTGCAAACAGCAATATCTTGGATACTTTTGATATCTGCACATATCCTACAGCATTTTAAAATGCATTGTGTCTGTGTACACGCCTAAAGAGGGCTGCTGCAGCTCAGAGGTCTCTATATACAACAGAGAGATGATGTGCTGTTGAGCCCACTAGGAGGGTTTTGGCCTGGAAACCCAGTGTCAGATCAACTTCCCTCATTTGGAAGATAGGGGTTAGGGATGCTGTTATTTTAGAAGAAAGAGGAAATGATACTCTCAAAAACAGGAGAAGTCAAAGTCATCTGGGTTGTAGAAGGAAGACACACTCTTCTTTTAAATGGCTGGGATATTTCTGTGTATGATCTGCTTACATCTGATTTCATAAGGAAGGACAGTGGAGAGGCCCACACCCTCTCCTGCTAAGATGATGCTCCTAAAAAATCACTCAGATGAAGCGAGGTATCCCAAGAACACAGACAGTTGTCATGCATAGCACATATTATAGCAAGAGGGAAGCCACACAAATCTAGGCTCAGGGACCATGAGGTGACTCTGCCTATACAGCAGGTGGCAGGGTCTGCTGGCTATTTCCACTGGCCACATCTGCTCCCCGGGGGGGAGGCTACCTTGGTCATCTCCATGTTTTTGTGTCCAGCCTTCCAATAGCCCAACAAGGTTACAATGATTTCAGTCATGCAGTGGCTCATAGAGGCCTAGGGTCTTGGGCTAAAGTCACAAAGCTGGTAGTGAACAAGCTAGAATGAGGCTTCCCCTTTCAAAGGCTCCTGTTTGAGTGTCCATCAAGAGCAAAATCCTACATGGACTGCAGGAATATGGAGGCTCTTAGCCTGAGTCTGCTGCTTCAAGGAGTCAGTGAAACTTTCACCTTCACCGGGAAGAGCAGCATTTCTCTTCCTGTCCTCCAAGCTGGCAGGCAGGACAAACGACCATAGCCAATGGAGTTCCACAAGTTGAGCTGCTGAGACATGACATGCAGAAGAAGTTGAATCTGGAAAGCTGGGTTCGAATTCTGCTGTGGTAGTGAGTCACCAATGACTCACCTCCACATTTTGTGTTCTGATTCTATTTAAAATACAAATCTGTTCCTATCTACAGCTTCAAGGATGCTCCCTCAAAACACAGCTGAAGTACATGCAGCAGCAGCAGCATTAGCATCACAGTATTCAAGTCCAAACCACTGTTCAGAGCACATCTCTTCTGAGTCCCATGGTACTGAGCCAGGAAGGTGTTGGGCAGAGAGCAAAAGGGAGTGGTTATGAATTGGTTTCTACAGATACATTTAGAAGGTTCTTCCTGGGACTGGGACTGAAATGAGCCGGCCTGGAGCACTGGCTAAGTCACGTAGGCCCTGTACCTTGCACTCAAAATCCCTCTCACCCCAAGGACTGCCAAGTTTCCCCGGGGAAGCTTCCTCCTTTCTGTCTCTGTCTCAGAGTCCATGATTCTGGGTTTCTCTGCCATGTGCTGCTCTGTCAGTGTGACCACATGGCCTGGAACTTCCCCAAACACTAGTCCTGAGACAACCATGCCTGCCATTCGGAGCACTGCTTCCTGCTGCTCAGATGACTGACCCACCCCCTGTGAAGTCCTTGTAGAAGCATCAACCCAGAGACGCAGATGGGATGCAGTGGAAGTGACAGAGTGGAGCCATCCAGGCTTCTAAAGTGCTCTAAGAATCTCCTATGAATTGCCTTGGGAGCAAGATGTGTGCCTAACCATGCCCATTGGTTTCCTGGGCTCACCACAACACCATCCTCTTAGCCCCTAGATGCCCTCTTCCCCCTCCCTCACACTCTCATTCCCTTTCAATTCACTTAATATTGTGTTTTGCAAGGTTCTTCCAGATACAACAGTACCATTATTAAAACAGGAGATATAGAAGTTCTAGGATCAAGCAGCCCAGGATTGACCTCAGCTCTGCTGCTTACTGGGTAAAGGAAGTCTCTGCCCTCTGCCCTCTGCCCTCTGCCCTCTGCCCTCTGCCCTCTGCCCTCTGCCCTGGTGTTTTTATCTGCAAAACATCCACTTCTGGGGCCCTCTGGGTGACTGACAAAACAGCACAGGCAGAGTCAGAAGCAAAGCCTGGATGTGGCATCCACTACTGCAGTTTTACATGTGTTAAAATCTGTTTGTCTTTTGCAGTCGCACATTGGGAAATAGTTGTCCCATGTTCCCAGGAAAAGGAAAGGGGGTTTCTCAGCATCTGGTTGATCCCTGCCATGCTATTCTGTGAAGTGTTTTGTGGTGTCCTTGATGCAAGAGTTGAAACATGAAAATCCTGTTATTTATCATCTGTTCCATCTCAGGTGTTAATTGTAGAACCTCAGAGTGGATTTGTCAGATCCAAAATCAGGCCACTCAACACAAAACAGCATGCATGTGGATCCTTCTAATATTTTTACTTTTGTAAGGTGTGATAATCATATTCCTGGTATAGCTTCTCCCTGATTGCTATAGAGGAAGGATGGACAAGGGAATAGCCTGCACTCAAAGCTGGTTCTGCCTTAAGCAAGGCATCAAATTATGTCAGCCCTTCAAACTGTAGGCCCTCATCTCTAAGAGTACAAATCCCTTCCTATCCATCTGTTGTTCAGGTACCACCAACTTAACTCTCAAGTCTCCAGGAAGCCTTCCCTGTTCTCCACCCTGCATTCCCTTATTACTCTGTACTTTCCTTACCAGAAACTGTTAAAAATCTCTGTTCACTTTCTGTCTCTAGCCAGGTGGTTTCTAAAGAAAGGGATCTGGTTTTGGCTAGCAGTTACCCACCCCCACCCCCAGGATCAGCTTGTGACTGTACATCTTGGTATATGAGTAAACAATCTTGATCATCCTTTGAAATAGTCATGGAGGGAGGCTTTATAGTTTTTATAACTCAGCTAAAAGCTGAAAGAAAGGCAACTGAGAAGGGAACATTACAGTGTTCTCTTTTAAGAAGGTTATTAGGAACAAGGAAGTTACGTCTAGGTCATGCCCGGGTACTCCCAAGCAGTGTATGTTCTTTACCAGTAGACAAACAGATACTGCAAAAACAACAGTTACAAAAAAATCTTCACACACTAAAAAGCCTGAAACTAGGCTGTCATGAGGGTGTGGTAACAAGGCTGTCCCCTGAGGGTGGTCCTGCTGAGTGTGTGTGTGTGTGTGTGTGTGTGTGTGTGTGTGTTGGATGTTGTGGTTTACAGATTACCAACTAGCCATGTAGACAGAGCAGCCTAGTCCTCACTGAAAAGCATCTTTTTCAGTGAGTATGCTCAGGCACAAAAAAAAGCATCCCAGGATGTTTGGCATACTCTTCATCCAGGCCACTGGGCACAGCACTATCCATCACAATAGTATTTAAACAAAGCTTGTATCTCCACAAGCCATGGGGGTGATGCATCATTAGCTCCCAGGTCATAAACACAGTGCTCATATCCCAAAACCCCAAGTTGGAACCCCTCTTTCCAGGTACAGGGGTGTCCAAATTTTTGACAGTGACAGAACCTTGTCTTCTACAAAGTTTGCCCTGGAGAAGCACCAATCCAATTGCCAAGAAGAAAACAAAAACAGAAAAGAAAAAAGAAAAGAAAAACCTTAACCAAATATCTCATATCATGTACTGTTTTAAGTAAGTTTCCAATTTTATGTGAGGCAGGATTGGGAGTTACACTGAAGATCATGCAACTTGCAGACTGAAGGTTGTGCATACCTGCTACACACAGTATTGTCTTCACTGTGACCAGTAGGCGCTGAGGGAAGTGATTTCAGCCCTTCTTTAGCTTCTGTGCCCTCCCAGAACAACAGGGTTTTGGGGGCAGCATGTATGTGTGCCTGGCAGATGGACCTACAGGCACTGTTACACCACAATTAAATCCAGTCGAGATTCACTCTGAAATCATGCAAGTACCACACTCACATAGTAACAGTGCCACCTGCCAATAAGTGAGGTAGGCAAAGCTTGGTCTCTCACACAATAACATCTTTGGTAAAACTGGAAGGCCACTGAAGAGACACTTGGATGATACCAGGTGTGGACTCCTACAAAAAGTATGAAGTCAAGTCAGGTAGGGGACTGTCAGTTTAGCTGAGAGTCCTGCAGGGAGGTTCCAGGGTTAACACCAGGACTGACACAAGTGTCCTTGCACACCTGTGCTTTTGGGCCTGACATAGTGAGGCAATTCCTGGCCTCGTGGGCCTCTACAGCTCTGCTCCCATCCACAGATAAAATGTGCTTACTCTCAACAAGCTTCTACATCCACCCAATGGTCCTCGCCACCGGTACCACTCACATGCGCGTACACACACACACACACACACACACACACACACACACACACAGAGAGAGAGAGAGAGAGAGAGAGAGAGAGAGAGAGAGAGAGAGAGAGAGAGAGAGAGAGAGAGTGCCAGGCTGCCCCGATGGTGTTGGGAGCCAAGCAAGCAGAAGGCCTCAGCTTCACTTTCACCTTAACCAAAACCTCATGCGATCCACCTTGGCTAGACCTAGTGTACTGAGGGTTCCAAAGTCCGGGGAATGAGGGCAGGGCCATAAGCTCCGCCCTGAGGAGGCGATCCTGAGACCTGGACCTAGAGTACTGAAGTTCCGAAGTCCGCTGAATGAGGCGGGGCCATAAACTCCGCCCTGAGGAGGCGAACCTGCAGTCCGGGCAAACCCTGAGACAGTCTTCAATTCTCCCTGCCCTGGCCGGTGGTGACAAGGCCGGCTGCGGACACGGACGATGCCGCTGTGTGCCCAGGATGCTGTCGCGTTTGCTCCTGCTCCTTGCCGCGCTCGCCAGCCTGAGTCAGGGTTCCTGCGCACACGGTAGGCTCCCCAGCGCTCGCTCTGTTGTTTTAAAGTCACACTTCGCGGAGAATCGGCTTGGATGGCCCTGTCCGGACCTCCATGGTTCCCAGCCCCTGCTCCTTCGAGCTGACAAAACTGGGTCTCGGGGCTCACCTGTTGTGTAAGTGGAGGAGGCTAAAATTAATCGTGGCTGTTGGGGAGTGGCCATCGAAGGATGTGTCAGGTCTATAGTTCCCATGCTGTAGCCTTGTTCCCATCCACCTCACAGCAAACCATAACTTTAGCCTTTGTTTTTCTGGGGCTCTTCATGGGTCTTGCTGCACTACTTAGGCTTCTCTCCCCTAACCCTACCATCTCACCCCTAACTACCCACCCCACCCCACCCCCGCCACACACACACATACATCAGTCTTAAGCCCTCAGCTCACTCCGGCTGCCAACTGCGATCTCTACCATTTTACCTACCCTCAGTTCAGGTTAGGTTCCAGTAGCCCAGGAGAGATGAAAAGGTGGAGAGTTAGAGGAGCTAAGTGGCATGGAGGCACGAAGACTGGGGACCAAAGACACTTCTATGTTACTCCAAAATTCGAAGTAAAACCCACACATCCAGTCATATGATCTGCACCCTCACTGGGGGGTGTGCAGCCGGCCCAAACACCACAAACATGGGCTGAGTTTTCCACTCATCCTCTCAGACTTTTGCAACTGAAACAGTCTTGAGATGCAAACAGTACATGGAAGAGAGCCAAGGGGGCAGGGACAAGTAAGTGTATTTTCTGAGAATGACGGAATCACTCAAAAAGAAACATGACTGGTGAGCTGATAGTTTTGAGAAGAAGGGAAGTGGGTGGAGAGCTGCCTTCAGGAGACATCTTAAGGAGTCGAGAAGCTGGAGAGGAACAAGGGCTATTGGCCTTGAACACTCTTACACTGCAGAATTCAAACAGCAAAATTCATCAGCAGAATTCAAATAAGAATGTTCATTGTGTTGTTACAAAAAAGACAGAGGTTTGCCCAGGGTTGTCATACTGGTAAAGTGCTAGTTTGAGGCTCCTGCAATGAGCTCTTTAGATAATGTTGTGTTGGGGCTGAGGGATTGGGAGGATGTAGATGGTTCACTACTAAGTGTCTTGCCTTAAAGACCTCTGTGAGAAGGTCTGGAACCACAACTGACTAATTCATTCTGTCTCTACTTCCAGACTTACCTAGGCATCAGCTAGAAAACAGGGATTTGGGGAAAGCTCTAAGCCCAGATCCCAAGATGTCTTCTGTGTTGGAAAGCACAGTGATGTCAACAAGCAGGTTGTCTGTATATCCAGAAAAGGCCAGGGTCCATGGCTTTGGGACAGGGCTGGGATGAGAACTTAGTCTTGGGTTGATACTAGAATAAGGACAGGGACTGGGCAGAGCCAGGGACTGGCTCATCTGAGAGCTCACTGCTCACACACAGACTCCTCACTCCTGGCCATCTTCCTGGAATGTTTGTGGCTCAAGTTGCCCCTGTCAGCCTCTCAGGAGGTTTCTGATCCTACACAGCATAAGATAGAAGGACAGGATACTGGCTTTGGAATCAAACACATTCTGGATATAGGTCCCCACTGTGCCCCTTACTAACTCCACTGGCCTTGGGCGACCATGTGACTCTCTAGGCTTTCATAAATTCTCCATGTGTCTAGAGCCCAGAGCTGCAGTGATCACGAAGGAACACAGTACCTAGTGTGTGAATTTTAACCCTTTCCACTGTCACCACTCTCTTCTCATTCCCCAGGTGTGGCTTGCTTTCTCCAGTGTTGACCTTCTTTTCCCTCTAGGGACAGAGCTGCCCAGCCCTCTTTCTGTGTGGTTTGAAGCCAGATTTTTCCAACACATCCTCCACTGGAAAGCTATCCCAGATCAGTCCGAGAGTACCTACTACGAAGTGGCATTGAAGAAGTAAGGAAAGCAAGGCACAGGGCACAGAAGGGGGCCAGAATGAGGGGGGAGGGGTGGCTGCTTTACTATTGAAATGAGACCATATTTTTGATACATATGATCTTGCCTGAGCATCATATGAGTTGAGCAGTGTGCTGTGATCCCTAATGTAAGGTGGGCAGCTGTTGGCTCTGAGGGCTTCCTACAATTCTGGAAAAGTATTCACAAGTGTAACTAGAAGGAAGCTGGAGGCTCCAGAGTGGGTTAACTAACCATTCTTGTAAAGTAATGAGCTACTTGAGCTACTTAGAGTCCCACCCAGGAGCCTTCTAGACTATGGATGTCAGCAGGGACCTTGGCCAAGGAAGAGGGAGATTTATGATAGCTGCCTGGGAGTAGGACCCTGAGGGATGTTCCTTCTCTGCCATTATGGGAATGTTCTACCCTGGCCTTTTCCTTCCCTCCTAAAGGAGAGAGGTTTGGGTACAAGCTGCTTCTCCAGTGCCTGCCCTGGTATCTCCTCAGGTATGGAAACACAATCTGGAAAGACATTCACAGCTGTAGAAAGGCCCAGGCATTGTCCTGTGATCTCACCAAGTTTACCCTGGATCTATACCGCAGTCGTGGCTACCGGGCCAGAGTACGGGCAGTAGACCACAACCAGTACTCCAACTGGACTACCACTGATACCCGCTTCACAGTGGATGAAGGTGCTTTTTTGCCTCTCCTAGACCTAGAACATGGCCTTCTGGGACCCTTCCAGTCAGGAGCTCCAGCCTAGGGCTTTTCTTTCTCTTCTCACAGCTTTTCACATTGCCAGGCTTCGTGGCCAGGGAGCTGGTTGTCTGAACAGATTTGAAGCTGCCTGAGATTTTAAAAGGACCTGACATTGTTTATCCTCCATAAGAGAGGTCTTAGGGTGATTGGCATGTCTGTGTCACAAGAGCCATTGCTACGAATTTGTAGAGTTTAGGGAGAGGCACCGAACCCTAAGCAGGTAGAGATAGAATTCAAATGAGGCCTGGCCCCTCATGGGGTGAATCTCCCAAATCTTGCCTTTGAAGCTAGAAAATGTAGTGAAGAAAAAATAATCCAGACAATTCCTGGGGAGTTAGCCTGGCCATGGTGGGATTCTATTCACACGGGGCCTGCACAGGGTCTGGGTACAATGTGGGCTCGTTCTGTAGGATTCAGAGCTGGAGGTGACACTAGAAAGGTCACTGGTTCCCAAATGCAAGCGTATATGCTAGGCCTCAGCTGCCTGGAGAAAGCATATCCCAGGGAGTTGCTTCAAAATTTGTATTTTCAGGGCCCAGGCTGAGAAATTCAGATTCCCCAGGTGCTAGAAAACCCATAACATCTGTAATGAATTCCCTAGAAGTTCTTATGTGGGGTAGAGTTGGAAACCCAAGGCTTAGGTTTTAGAGTGGGTAAAGTTTGACCCGGGAGTCAGACTATGGATACCATCCCTGTAACTCTGCTTCATGCCTTTGCCCCTCTCCCTCTCAGTGATTCTGACGGTCGGTAGTGTGACACTGGAGGTGATCAATGGCTACGTCTTTGGGACAATACATCCCCCTAGACCCAAGATAGTCCCTGCAGGTGACGAGTATGAACAGATCTTCGAGAATTACCGCAAATATAAGATTTCCATCCGAAAGTTTCAGGAGGAAAAGGTATGAGGTTCCCCAAGGCCACCAGGCCAGGGCTACCTAGATTGGAATCACTGTCGTGTCGCACTAGGGAGCTTGGCACACACAGGGAAAAGGGTTATGGGGAGGCAGGAGGGAACTGACATATTCAGACCTAGCACCAGCAATGCACAAGGCAAGCTACAGCTACTCTGGAGTATTTTCTTCCAGCTTGTAGATAAGGAAACAAAGTTGCAACATGTACTGGAAGCCAAGCCCTGCAGTCTGGAACCCATCAGATACTCTTACCTCAGTTGTTTCTAGTTCTTTCTGTGAAGAGCTTCCACTTCTATAAAAGGAGCCCTTTGCTCTGTTAAAATAAAAGCAGTGTGCTGGAGGGATGACCGAGTAGGTAATGAGCTTTCTGTGTACAAACATGAGGATCTGAGTTCAAATCCCCACAACCCACATAAAGCTAGACTCAGCAGTATACGTTTGTAACCCATTGCTCCTGCAGTAAGATCGAAGCTGGAAACAGGAGGCTCCAAGGAAGCTTTAGATGAGCTAGGCTGGAGTACCCAGTGGCAAGCAACAAAGAGACCTTGCCTCAAACAAAGGGGAAGATAAAGACTGATAGCTGATTGTTCTCTGTCTTCCACACATGTGCTATGGCATACACTCACACACAGAGAAATACACACATATATATGTATGCAATACACATCATGCACACACACACACACACACACACAGATTAGAGCAAAATCATATTGGATAGTTACAGAGATGATCGGCTGCACTGACTATCATTGAATTTGTTATCTTAGTAAAAGATGACTGAAAATCTCGGCAGAGTATTCTCCAGAGCACCCACTCCCCCAGGGCTGGCTATCAACAGCCCTTCCTTGTCTAGCATCTCAAAGCCCTGGGCTCATCTGCAGCAGAAAATCAAAGCTAGGCCCCTCACACTCTCAGCTTCTGTGTACCATGCATAAAAGTATTGTTTATTATTGTTCTTGCTTCCATTTCAGAATACAACCATGACAGTGAAACATGAGAACTTCACCCTCAAAGTTCCCAGAGAAATGGGAGAGTTTTGTATCAAGGTGTATCCCTTAGTGGAAACCCGGAATAACAGAGCAGAATGGTCAGAGGAGCAGTGTTTGCGTATCACAGAGCAATGTGAGTGACCCAGACAGCAGACAAAGGGTGCTAGACCGTCCAGAACACAGGAAGCCATGCTCAGGTTGCTGGCCCGTTCTAGGCCCAGATCTGCATAGAGCCATTATTCTTCACACAACCCATGGGAGAAGTTGCCCCATGCTGCTTCGAATCATCCTGGTATTGTTTGTTTTGTTTTGTTTTTAAGTAATTATCATAGGAGATAACCAGATGATAAAATCTTAATACTTTATGGTTATGCCATTCACAATGACATGCCAGCATGCTTGTTTCTCTGTCTCATGAGCACATACACATTCAAAAGAGAACCCCAATGGCTCAATCGAGTCCTGACAGCTTCTGTTATCTAAATAATTTAAGACTTGTACAAATGGCATGAAGTCCAAAATAGTTCAGCAGAACTGTAACATTTCAAAAGAACTCCCAAACACAAAGCCAGTCACTAACCAGCAATCACCAACAATGATTCACAAATCCAAAGGGCTTCAAGAAAATAAGAGAATGGCCCAGTCCATACAGTACCCACCCCACAAGCATGAGGAGATAAGTTCAAATCGCCAAAACCCATGTAAAAGCAGGGTGTGGTGTGTGTTTCCCTAACCCCAACCCTCATCCTCAAGAGAGGGTCCAGAAATAGGCAGACGGTGTCTCACTGACCAGCCAAGCCAAATCAGTGAGTTCCCAGTTTAGTGAAAACCCCCCAAAAATATGGTGGAAAACCAGGCACTATAGCTCATACCTTTAATCCTCAGAAGGTAAAAGCAGGTGAATCTCTGTATATTCCAGGAGGACAACCTGGATTACATAGTGAGTTCCAGGCTAGCAATGTCACAAAATGAGACCCTGACCCACCCCCATCCAAAAGAAAGAAAATGGAGCACAGGCATGGTCAAAGGACAGACTTTAATGTTGACCTTGGGCCTGTACATGCATCCCACACACGTACACATATAACACAAACACACATCACCATAACACCTACATACTACACACACACACACACACACACACACACACACACACACACACACAGCTCTTAAAGACCCCTTAATGGATAGGAAATCAAAGCCCAAGTTTCAGCAATGCAGGAGAAATTTACCAAGGAACTAAACTTTCTTAAGAATCCAAACCAAGGTCCAAATTAAGAAGCAGATGATCCCGACCAAAGTAGGATAATTAAAACAAACAAACAAACAAAACAAAAACCCCTCCAGAATAGCATAACCCCTCAGCAGCTATGAGGAATTATTCAGTCTTTTCTTTCCAACCATAGTAACTTGCTGGGTATGCTGGCATCCAAAAGGTGCCAGCAGTACCTGGCCCAACAGCACTCAACAAGATCAGCCACTCATCCTCAGTAGTTTAATCAGATTCAGAGTGGAAGGCAAAAAAAGGGAATTTATCCAGTGTGGCCACATGGGCATGAGAAACAAACAGGACTTGTGATCCTGAAAGCTGATTTTCCAGGATTAAGGGCATGAACATTAACATGATGTTTAAGTTTAAACAGAATACTGGGGTGGGGGGGCATGCAGAACCAAACAGGTCAGGTCAGGGTGTGTGGCCCCACCCATCATGGCGCTAGCCGCTATTACCTCAGCCTCAGTTTCTCTGATTGGTCTGCTGTCAGACCTGTGTGAAATCTCCAGGAGATAAGCTCCCCTTGACTGGTACCAGGCTTCAGCCTTCTCCCAACATTGCGACTCCTAGGGAAAGCCTGCTGTTTCTATACTCAGATAGAAAAAGGGGGGGGGGTGTTTAAGAGTCTGTTCAGAATAGCTTCATTCCTGCCAGGAGGTGACACTAGGATCATTCCACCTGAGCACAGCTGGGCTTCCCAGGGACCTCTCCAGTTCCCCTCTGGCAAGTGGGCTAGTTCCTATTTGGTCCTGCTCAGGCTATTTCTCCTCCGGGCCCTTGTGGGAAGGGCTCCTCCCTGCCCTGAGTATCCCAGAAGAAGCAATGCTGAGCTGGCTTCTTGACACTGCTACTGCAGCCAGCAGAAACCTGCGCTAGGCCCTCAGCCAGGGCCCAGGGCGCTTTCCCAGGATGGGTTATCAAGTGAAGAAGCTGTGTCTCACCCTTGGGAACCTTTCAATCTGCTGATTGCCCAGAGGGATCCATAACTACCAAGCCATGGCAGCTAATTTAAGTGTTCACACTATACCCAGTGTATGCCCTGGGAGTGTCCCATCCAGCAAACATGAAAGGGACTCTCATGGATTTGTAATAAATTTCAATGCAGCCCATTGCCATGAAAGTCCCACCACTAAATAAGTCACCAAAAGTATGTCCCCACTTTAAGTGCTGCTGGTATTTTCATCATCCTTGTATGCAAAAGGTTTGTTTGAATCTCAGCTGTGTTGCTTCCATGTGACCGTGGACAAGTGACTTGGTGTCTCTGGGCCTCGGGATCTCAATATGTAAAATGGGGTGATGCTGGCATTGACCTCCTAAGATAACTGCTAGGGTCAGGCAACACAAGTGAGATGTTTGACAACCATCTTGAGGTGGTACTGTAACTTTCCCTCCTGTATACATGGACAGTGGGACCCGGATGGATACATTATTTTGTCCACAGTCCACAGCTACTAAGAGGTACAGCTGGGATTTCGAATCCAGGTACAGCTGCCTCAGTCTCCACTCTTGCCTACTGTTTCATCCTGCCTCAGTGCTTTATTGGCCATTGTGGTAATCGGCTAGCGGCAGGGCCAGTGTGTCAGTGTGTTACTGAAGGGACTGGTGGCAAATAAACAATCCTTTCTAGGAGCCTAGATACCTCTAGGGCTGTGACCCACCAATTGCCCACGGGGATGATCAAGGGCCATTCACTGAATATGTTCTAGTCATAGCCAAGGATTTCTGGGCACTCTACCTTATACGCCACAAACACACCTTTCTGGGTCTGCAGATTTCACCTTGACCAACCTCAGCATTCTCTTCACTTCTATCCTGATACTCTGCGGAGCCCTGGTCTGCCTGGCTCTCCAGCACTACATCCGGCGCCCGGGAAAGTTGCCTGCAGTCCTGGTGAGTGCTCTGTCTTTCCTATGTTCCTGCATGGTCTGGGGACCCTCATTCAGCACTGTGGAGGTCAAGCAAACACTAAACCCAGTGTGGAGAACGGGGCCTCTGAGTAGCCCAGAGACTGCGTGTACACTCACTCAGCACGGTTTTGTCATCTACACAGTGGCCTGTGGAGCAACCACTGCATCCATGAACTGGTCTTGGTTATTCTCCTCATTTTACCAGTGAGCACAGATAGGTTGCTGCATTCATAGGGTCACATCATTGGGAGGAGTTGTAGGGAAGGTTTTGCATCATCCTATCCCGGTGCTGCTGAGGGACAGAAAGAAGGGCTAGACCAGAGGGGAGGGAACAGAGTGGAGAGCTGACCCAGAGAGGAAAGAGCTTGAGAGGAAGCCAAGACCTCTTTCCCCTCTCAGATGGAAGCACCTCCAGAAGCCATCCTACATGATTGAGTAGTATTCTACTTGTCCCCTGGCTTGGTCTCAGGCTATGTCAGAAGTGGCTAGCCATAGCATCCAGATCCTGGAATATATATATAAATATATAAATATATATATATATATATATATATATATATATATTGATAGATGGGTGTGGACTATAGAGGAGTCCTGGAGTTGCTAGAAAAGATAATCACACACACACACACACACACACACACACACACACACACGGGGTGGGGGAGAAAGGAGAGAGGGGGAAAGGAAGGGAAAGAAAAGGAGAGAGAGAGGAGAGAAAAATGTGTGTGTGTAAGGATGGGGTGGCCTAGCCTAATGAGGGTCCTTGTCTAGACAAGAGTGTGTTCTCAGCTCAATGACAACTGGTAAAAACAACTATAAGGAAGAGATGGGGGAGCCAGCCCTTAACAGTTCTCAAGGATTTACTAGTTCTTCCTATATAGCTGAAGTTTGTCCTCATTGTCTTCCTCTGTGCTTCTGGGAGATTCAGCTCCCCAGACATATGTTTCTCAGCCTGTTCCACGGGCGCTTGAGCTCATACTCTGTGCAGGGCCAGGAGCCTGGGTGCTGGTGGCCCAGGGATGAATAAACCATACTACTGAGCCTGGCTCTGTGGAGAGCATGGTCCAGGAAGTGGGAGAGGGCAGCCCTGTGCCTAGAGGGGCTCAGGAATGAGTGAAGTTGTGTTTGAGCTAGATACAGAGCATACTCCCTGGTGGCAAGTGCTGTCAGGGAGGAAACTGACTAATGTGGCCTCGAGGGGTTCCCGGGATGTGATGCCAGCCAGTGCCAGGCAGGTGTGGAAGGCTAACTTTAATGTAAAACCATGAAATAGGCAGAGATTAGAGATTACCGAATGCCCAGAACTGACAGGCAGCTGCTTGTGGATTCCTTCTGAGCCTGTGAGTCACAGCTTTGCTCTTTCCTTCAGAGCTTTTCTCCTAGGGTTCAAACAGCCCAGTTCCACTTAACAGCTGCTCCTGTCTGTGGGGGTAACTTAACTTGTGTGAGAGAGTCCTGGCACATTCCTGAATATACTCTGAACCATCTGCTGATTTGAACTGAGCATCCAGCAGGTCACTGAAGTCAGTTCTATTAAGCAAGCTGGGGAATCTCAAATCCAGATAGCTGGGTATAACTCCAGGTTTGTCCCTTGTTGCTGGTGACTCCAAGCATATCATCTAACACCTCTGAGCTATGTCTCTCTAGATCATAGGGGTAATGATACTCCTATATAGTTGCCAAGGAGTCCAATTCCATTCAGCATATATTTGTGGAGCAGTCTTCTATATAACCTGAATGGTTCAAGCTCTGTGCATGCTTCACCATGAGAAGGCACATGATGCCATTAATCTCATCGATGGATGAGAAACTAAAGCTTAGGAAAGGATATTGGCTCAGTGGCAAGCTGCTAAAAGATACATCCTCCACCACTAATCTCTGTGGCCACTGTGGACCTAGTTGGCCATAGTAATAGGAACACAGTAATAGGAACACAACGGGAGGAAGAATTGCAATGAAGTCATTAAGTGCAAAGAAGATGAGGGCAGGGGTCTAGCAGAGTCAGTCATTCGGTCAGTCTGTCAACAAACCTCATTAGTTCCAGTTCAGCTTAGGCTCTTAGAGTGAGGAGTAAGACTGGATGGTTACTGCTTCTAGAGTTGATATTGTAGTGTATTAAGTAGAGTTTCTGTTGCTGCAGAGAAATGCCATGACCAAAAAGCAAGTTGAGAAGGAAAGCTTCATTTGGCCTATACTTGCATATTGCTGTTCATCATCAAAGGAAGTCAGGATAGGACTCAAACAGGGCAGGATCCTGGAGGCAGGAGCTGATGCGGAGGCCATGGAGAAACACAGCTTGCTGGGTTGCCCCCACGGCTTGCTCAGCCTGCTTTCTTATAGAACTCAGGACCACCAGCCCAGGGATGGTACCACCCACAATGGACTGGGCCCTCCCACATGAGTAACTAATGAAGAAAATAAATAACTTACACCCTGATCTTGTGGAGGCATTTTCTCAATTAAGGTTCCCTCCTTTCAGATAATTCTAGTTAGTCAGGCAAGTTGATGTAAGACCAGCCAGCACATATAGGAAGTTTAGGAAGAAGTAAGGAAGGAAACAAGGAGAATGTGGCTGCACCACTGATTTGGCCTGGGTGCTTGCAAAGTCTCTCAGAAGAGTTGTTGTCTGAGCTCAACAAGGAGGAGGGTACAGACATATGGGGTGCTAAGAATATTCCTAGAAGAGTGGTCAGCACATGCAAAGGTCCTATAACAGGGCTGCTCTTGCCATGTTCTGGACAGCAAAGACACCACTATGGATAGAGCAGAGGAACAAGCTGAAAAGTATTAAGTGACTTCCCCACAATGAGAACACACTGTGGCCTATAGATACTTATGCCCTGTGACTAGCTTCAGTGACTTCCATGATGCTAAGTGCACACAGGTACTTACTTGGCATCTATTTCTTACTTGGGGCCATTGTCAAAATAGTTTGAAATACACTTCGGTATGGGCCTGGCTTTTCAAGCCTCATCCGAGTCACAGAGCTTCATGAGTGGAGCACCTGAGAGCTTTCTCCAGTCTCAGCGAGACCCCATGGGATCTGGACCCAAGAACACCAGTTGCCTATGTACCTGCCTGGGCCAAACCATGAAGTACCCTTGGGAGAAAATTCTAATGCCAGGATGGAGCTGGGGGGTCACCGGGCTCTTCACCCGCTCTACACCTCCCCCCACAGTGCCTCACCTGGCATCCGAGGAGGGTCCTTTCAGGCGGACATGGCTCTCTCACTGTATTAGTTTCATTGCTGTGACAAAAGCCTGTGCCTGGCAAAAGCAACTTGAGGAAGGAAGGGTTTGTTTTGGTTCATGGTTTGAGGGTGCAAGGCTACCATGGGAGGGAAAGAGCATGCAGCAGCTGGTTGCGTCCCTACAGTCAGGGAGCAAAGAGGTGAAAGCTGGTGTTCAGCTCACGTTCTCCTCTTTATTCATCCCAGGACTACAGCCCACGGGATAGTGTCGTATTCAAGGTAAGTCTTCCAAGCTCAGTTTAACCTTTCACAAAACACCCTTACAGACAGACTTTATGGAACCACGTGGTGGTTCTCAATACAGTCCTGTTGACCGTGCCAGTCATCACCACACTCACCCTGCCTCTCCTCCCAGGTCTTTGAGAAGCCCCACAACTTCTTCCCCATCAACCCTGTCTGCCCAGAGACTGTCAACAGTGTTCACACCCTGGACTTGGAGGCCTTCCGGAAGGTGTCACCAGAGCTGAGAGACTCACACCTGCATGGCAGCACTGACAGTGGCTTTGGCAGTGCCAAGTCGTCACTACAGACTGAAGAGTCCCAGTTTCTCCTCCGAGGCTTGCACCCCCAGAGTCAAGCGTCTCTGGGAAAGGAAGAGCCTCCAGAGCTACAGAACAGCTGTGGGGACAACACAGACAGTGGGATCTGCCTGCAGGAACCCAGCTTACATTCCACCTGGAAGCAGCCCTTTGGCCAGGATGACAGTGACATTAACTTAGTCCAGAGCTCTTCAGGGCAGCCTGAGAACACACAGAGTGGCTCTGCCTTGGGCCATGGTCATCTCCTAGAACCTGGAGTCCCTGAGGAGAAAGATCATGTCATAGTGACATCCCAGGGCTACCAGAAACAGACCAGATGGAAGGAAGATGCAGCCGACCCAGCAGGACCCTTGGACAAAGAGACTCCTTTGACAGATGGATTTGTCCCTACACTGGAGGTGTGCCTGCAGGCCAAGTTAACTTGGCCTCCACCAGCTCTGGCCAAAGGTTATTTAAAACAGGAGTCCCAAGGGATGACCCCAGCACCAGCAGGGACCCCAAGTAGACAATGGAGTCAGCTGGCTGGAGAATGGCCATTCCTGGGTATGGTTAGCAGTGAAGACCTAAATGCAGAGAGCTGGAATTTGACCCATGAACTTGCCCCTCTGGACTATGGGGCTGCCCCTGGTGACCTCCTGGCTAGCTTTGACTCTAACCTGGCCACCCTACCACTAATCTCCAGCCTGAAGGTGGAAGAATGACATAGGCTAAGGGTTGTTTGTATTCCAGTCATGCCTGCTCTCCTGCCTGCACCAGGAGGGCCCAGGAGTCAAAGAAATGTGTGGGCCTTTTCTGCAGATCCGCAGTGGTCAGCTGGCCAGGCCCCAGAGGGCAGGAAAAGGCCATCTTGCTGGGCAAGTGTCAGGTGCACTGGAGGTTGTGTCTGGTTCTGCTGAGAGAGGCCCTGCAGACTACAGCAGAGGAGATCTCCTCACTCCTCAGGGCTGGGTCCTGGACTAGAAGGACCTGTGTTTGGGAGGAAACCCAGGTTGAAGTCAGAACAGCCTGGAAATCTGTGGAAGAGTGGGAGTGGCTAACTTCCTGCAGGGTACAGAGAGGGCCCACGAGAGAAAGGAGGAGCAAGAGCCAGGTTTAATGTTGTCATGTAGAGAGGCACTGGACAGGGTGCTTGTCACTGGGAGATCTTGAGATACATGCCACTCTGAATGACCAGCCAGCTAATTCAAAACCATGAGGCAAAAGAGACTGAGATACAGAATCTGTATCTCATGTGGGGTACCTCCACTATCCATCTGCAGACATCTCCCTCTTTTTGACAAACACATCTGTGTCCCCCTGGGTTATCTGCAGTGCCCAAGCCATTGTTCCTTGCTGCTCACCATTGTGCTGACCGGCCAAACAAATTATAATGTCTGTGTTAGCACATTACCCTTTAGGTAGCCTTTGGGCATAGATGCTGGCCCACCCTTAAGGCTTATATATCTGCATTTGCTGCTAATTTCCAACCACAAAGAGAACAGGGTGCCTAGCTGGTATTTCTGTGTTCATCTGTGTGACCTTGGACCAGCAGCTTCTTCAGGGGACTAAAATAAAGAATGAATTGTTAGGAAGTCCCTCATGCTGGGTGTTAGCCAAGTTGGCCCTGGAGGTGATATTTTTGGTCTTGCTAGCCTCTGGGCTGGAAGGAAGTAGACTGTGGAACCCATCAGCCTCATGCCAATGTCTCAGATAACTTGCAGGAGCCTAGGGCCTTGTGTCAAGATAGCTGGTAGTCACTGGGGCTCAGGGCTGGTCCCTGCTTCTCTATGCTGCATTTGAGACCTGTCTTCAAGCAAAGGCAGTTTGCAGCCCCCAAATAAGGATGCTGGGAGAAACGACAGGGCTGCTTATCCCCTCACAGTGCCTATACCCTGAGAGTTTCTTTGACGCTTTCCAAACATAGACTGTGTGACCCAGGAGAGGCAGCCATGAGCTTGCCACCCTGCCAAGAAGGTCATGATGCCAGTCTAGTACCGGAGCTCCTTCTGAAGTTGGGAGGACCTCTTGGGGTTGTCTTGAAACCTTTATTTATTTATTTTGCTCACTTATTTATTGAAGAGGCAGCATAGCACAGGCGCAGGCCTCGGGGTCTCTCAGGAGGTCTAGTTTTGACTGCACTGTTTCTAGCTGTGTGACCCTGGGCAAGTCACATTTCCTCTTTCAGCCTCAGTTTTCCTGTCTGTCTGTAAAATTTGAAAAGTTCCCGACATGCCCAATCCCTAGGAGTGTGGAGTCCCGACAAGAAGATGACACAGATGTGCCCTGAATGGCGAGTGAGTGGTGTGTGTTTTCATTCCAATAAATAGGTATTTTGCGAAAGCAATCAGATTTCTCGCCGTCACTGTGGATAACTGGCAATGGCTATAAACAAGGCATGCTTTAAGGAAACATGTCTGAGGACTTGGGCTCACACAGGCAGACCCAGCTTCAACACTAACTGTGACTTTGGGAAAGACACATATTCTCTCACAGTTTCTCATTCCCCAAAGGTGTCATGAAAGTGACAGTTGTCGTGGTGGTGTCATGAGGCTGAAATGAGATCACGATGGAATGGAACAAGCTTACTGTGGTGCCCCACATCTGGCATTCCATGTGCAAACAGCTGTTGAGGGCCATTAGGGTCGGGAAAGGAAACGGACTGTTTTTCTTAGAAACAGGTGCACATGGAAGATGTGCCTGAAGTGTTCTTTCAGAAGACAAAATGATAGGTGTTCCCAGTGTTTGGGATGTGAGTTATGACAGCGAGGAACTCGCAAGGCCCTCCCAGGAAGTAAGCGAGCCAGACCTGCAGACTGCTGGCTCACCCTACCCTGAAGATGTGCCTGGGTGGCTCCCGTAGGCTGGGAGCCTCCAGAGCTCTGTTCTAACGGTGTTTTCCACAACAGTGTGTGGGTTGACCCATCTCCCTGAACTCAGCCTTGCGGGCGCAGCAAATCTAGGGCCTGGCCTGAGTCCTAAGTGTCTGAGATCACCAGGACACCTTGTCCCTTCCCCGATATCTCCCATGTGCCCTCCCTGCTCACTCTGAGAAAGGAGGCCTTCTGGAGAGCCAGCAGTCCCCTTCCCTGCAGAGAACTCGAACAGCACCACACTGTGTATATGTGACAAGGACATTCTTCCACCCTGGGGACTTTCTGCCTGGGTCTGAAAACAAAAGTGCAATGGCCGTTCTTTCCTGGAAATGGTGTTGGGGATGGCTTCTTCCCCGCAGAAAAGCCCCCAGGCAAGTGGAATAGAGCCCAAGCACTGGATGGATAAAAGAGAAGAGAAATTACCATTGTCGAAAGAAGGAGGCTCAGTTGGGTTGGGAGAGAAACCGAGACTCAGGCCTTTAGGGCAGAATGGAGGGGGATGGGCTGTGAGTGTCAGCAGCAAGCCTAGACCTGTCTGTAGAAAGAGTGAGAGTCAATTGGTTCCTCAATGAAGCTGTATGGGGAGCCTAGAGGACTCCTCCAGGCAGCAGCTGATAAAATACTTCATCCAGGCTTCTCTGGAATTCAGATTAAAGTCCCTAACAGAAGGCCATGATGGTTTTCAGCTGAGCACCTCCTTCAAGGGCTTTTCCAGGCAGAGGAATGTGTGGTTCTGGGTTTCTGTGAGCTAATGGAACTTCCTCTTAGCAAAGTGAGAGGGAAATGGGCTCACACTGACAGAGGAGGAAATTCTGTCAAACTGTGTTTCCCCAAATTTGTGAACAGCTATAGTCGAGAAATTGCCTTGCCCCAGACAAACACCTCTATCCCCTCCACACACACACAGTGGCAAAACTTTCAGCTGACCCTCTGAGAGGTCAGGTCACACACACAGAGTCTACAAAACACTCAGCACCCCAAGACTCTGGATACCACCCACAGAGCCCACACAACACCTGCATCACAGGGTGAAAATTCTGAAGAGTCCCTCATGCTAAGAGAAAGGAGCTTGGACTGTTGCCTGAGGGGCATGTCCAGGCAGCCCAGTACCGAAGCTATCACCCCACCACCATCACCACCACCGATAGGACACCCGATACTGAGAAGCCTGACTCACTCATTTCCTGCAGTGCTCATGGGTTTGAGGGTTTCTTTTGAAACAAACCCACAACTTAAAATTAAGTGAATTGCTATTAATGAGAAGGCCCATGGTGCCTCTCACTGTCAGAGTGATTTCCCATAAGTCTCCAAACAGGGTGATGGGACCCTGCAAACACTGGTGAAGAAGGACTGGGTAGGATGAAATTCATGTTTGTGAAAGGTGACTCTGGCCAAAGCATAATTCATTCAACAAAAGAAACTGAGCAGAAAACAGGGAGACCTTTATTGAAAGCCAGCCATTTAACTTTGGCTGGCCTATCTCACCAGCCCGGCATTTCACTCTTCAGCAGTTACCTACCATGTGCCAGGTGTGATCTTCAGCCTTGGCTTCATGGAGCTGAGTATCTGGTTATAAAGGTGAATGCCAAACAATTAAGTACTAACAAGTGTCAGCACCTGTGATAAGTGCCATGGAAGAAACTATTATCCTGCACTAGGGATGAGGCAGAAAGTAGATAAGCAGGGTGGGAAGCTGCCTTTGCTCTGGCAATAGGAGATCACATATCTGGGCTTTAACCAGATGCATGTCGGGAGCTGAGGAGTGGAGGGTCACAGTTCTAGCTCATCCAGCTCCCACTAGGGGCCCTTTCCTTGTCTGCAGGTATCTTGGAGCTATATCACCCATGATGGGAAGATCTTTTTTGTCTCTTCTTCTTATGAAGTTGCTAATGCCATCATGAGGCTCCATTCCCATGGCCTCATCCAATAGCCTCCAAAAGACCCCACCATCACATTAAGAGTTAGGACATCAACACTGAGGGGTGAGGGGACACCCACGTTCAGTCCATATAGATGCTTATACATATATATTGGGCAAGGGCAGTGGGATTAGAGAAGAAGGAACAAATTCACAGAACATTTTAAAAGAAAGCAAGACAGGACAAAAGGCTGGAAAGAAAGAGTCAAGTGTTAACTCCACTTGAACCTGATGGAGAGCAGTTCATGACATGGGTATGGAAGGGGACACATGGTGTAGTTGGGGTGGAGGTGTTGGGGACCCGGGAGATGCTGAGCTTCGGCTCTACAGTGGTATTTCATGCAGAGGAAAGATATTTAAGGATGGGCCTGGCACTGGGTTAGGGCTGGGGATTTTGAGGCAAGTGCTCTGTGTTCTCTGTGAAACTTGCATCGTGGGTGAACTTATCATCATGGCATAGAGATGAGAAGACAGGTCTGGAGAGGATTCCTGACCAGCCATAAACTTGGGATTATTCACATGTCTCACTATCTCTAGCAAGAGCAGGCAGCCATCCTATTGGCCTACAGTGTCCAGAACCATGCCTGAGCTTGACATATACACTGCAGATCCCAGCCAGGAGCCTCAGGGATCTTCAGACAGCCACAGTTCATAACTAGAAGGTGGAGGTGATGGAACAGCCAAGTGTTATCCCACCTGAAGAGTCCAAGGGCTCTACAATGGGCATGAGCAGGGAAGTATAGACATAGAACCACCTTCCTTCTTCCCTTCATAATCAGCTCTTTAGAAGAGCAGTCCCACTCACAGACTACACTCTATACATAGTATGCATCATGCATCTGTGGTCTCTGTGCCAGAACTTACAACTCATTAACACAACAGCTCCCATCCTGTCCCAACTCCCCAAAATGCACACATGGAGGTCCCAAAAGCTCCTGCTTCCAAACAACCAATCCACATAGGTTTTTCCAATGCCTTTAGAGGGGTGATGTGGTTTACTCCTTCACGTCTCCACATCAGGGCCACCATTTTCTTCTTAATCCCGATTGTCTCTACTGCTTCTCATAATGGTTAATAGCAACCCCACTCACGCAGCCATGGGGATCATGCAAATCTTGCCCATTGGATAAGGTTATTAAATGGCCCCTCAGTCTTTGGTGGTCTTGCAGCTATCCTATCCTGCTTCTTCCATGCCTATCCATTTGGAGTCTTCATCAGCCCTCTCTGGGACCACTTGCCACAGTCTCTTGATCTCCCCCCACCCCAGTATCCCTTTTCACTAAATAATCTTCCCTATAGTTGACTAAGCTTTAAATTCCACTGGACAACTTGTAAGACAATACTCAAAGCCTCTGCTCAGAAGGGTCTTCAAAACCGCCCTCCTGGCTCCTGTCCCTTCTCCTTTCTTCCCTTGTACATCCTCACTGCGACTCCCCTCCAGCCCTCATATCCACCTGCCTTCCCCCAAGCAAACTACACTGTACATACCTCTGGCCTTCCGTTAGTGCCAGTTCCTCATCTCCAAAACCTCGTCTTCCACTCTGCTGTTTCAAGGCTGCCCACGTATCCTCTGCAAAGCTCACCCCTGCCCCGCCCCCAGCCACTCAGACCCTGCATGTGCTTCCAACATGTAACTTGTCACTGTGTGGGCATCCAGTGAAAATGAAATAGGAAGTGTAAAGTATCACTCTTGGTGCCCTCTGCAGCTGCAAGGGTGTGAAATTTCTTATAGGTGCTAGGTACACTCCTGATGGACTCACCAGAAAGAAGTAAAGAATGTGATATTTTAACTATCCTAAATGGAAGTAGGAAGGCTCAGACATGGAGTCTGTGGCAGGCCATAGAAAATCTGAGCCCAGGATTCAAACTAGCAAAGAATCAGGATAAGTAATAGAGTCAGTGCTGTAGACCCTGGTATGGGGTGGAGTGTAGGGAGGCAGGGCAAGCGCAGGGTAATCCAGGCTAATCAGCTACCACAGCAAGGTCCACTAAGACTAACCAGCTACCACAGCAGGGCTATTGGGCTGTAGAGACCCCAATGTCATCCCCCGGGAATGGATAGACTGCTTCTCTGGGTTCTAGGTATGATCTGTTCTTTGCAAATGGGTCTGTCGAATTGAGATAGTTTTGAAGCTGACTATTCTCATGAGGTCTCTGGGCACAATGCTTTCACAGAAGGTCATTTACCAGCACTCATTCCAGCTCTCTGACAGCAGGAACTTCACTTGATTGATCTCTGTGCCCTTTACACCCAGTAATGGTAGAGCGCAGTAACGAGCACTCAGTAAACTCTTGGTGACTAAATGAATGCATGAATGAGTAGAACTTTTCCATTCATGTCCAAAAAGCATTTGAATGCAGGTGAAAACAGTTCAAGAAGCATCGAGATGATTATGATGGTCATGGAAGACTGAGCAAAGCAGGTGCTTGGGAGACATTAGCCTGAACCTACAAGAGAGAAAGAGAGCTATGTGTAACTCTGAGCAGAAGCTTGGTTTCAGGTTTGCCATCATCTCCTCTTAGTCATATGATTTCACAATAATTCTCTTCCCTGCTTTCTTCACCATGTGTTGTAGTACATAAGATCACAGACCAAACAGGAGAAACATCCACAATTCAAGACAAAGGGAAACATTCAACATGCATTGACTTACTCTTTGGGCAAACATTCATTGGGTACCTACCAGAGACTGTGACAGGCAAGTAGACATGATCCTCCTAGCTGGCTCAATTCTGCATGCATGTACACACACACACACACACACACACACACACACACACACACACACACGTCCATACACCTCTCCCCCATCTTCATCCCCTGTGGTGGAACTGAAGTTTGAGGCTGGAAGAAGCCTCAAAGTTCTCAAGGCCTTTGGAAACCTTACATAAATAAGGTCCCTGGCGCCCAGAGAGCCTCAGCTCACAGTCTATAAGGAGATGGACTGGGCTTAGAATAGAAGATGAGAGACTTCTCTTATTTTATACCCGCCTTTCTCCCAGCAGTTCTCGGTGCATGAGAAATCCTACCCATGGCTTTGGGGAGAGGAAGCCAGTCACATGGCTCTGCAAGAGGATAGAGATATATGGGAGAGTTGGGGGGGGGTCCACTATGGCCTTGGCCTCCAGCACTGCCTTGCTTATTGTCTTGTTGTTTTGCTGCTTGCTCCTCTGGGCAGACAGAACATTTTCACTTCTGGTCCCCAAGTGTGAGAATTCACGAGGCCACCGGCTTCCTGTTTTGTTTCAGCTTTTGCTCAAATATCACCACTTCTAGCTGGGTTCTGCTCACTAAGCAGTTTTTAAAAATAATGACTCCTATGTTGGCCTCCTCAAACCCGAGAGCATAGAAAGGAGCACCAGAGACTGTGGTCTTCTAGGTCTTGTCACCTGACCCTATCTACTGACGCTGGCTTGGGGCTAGGCCATGCACACTCATAGGAGATACTATGGCTTTGATCATGCCCTAGACTGTCCTGTGGTAGAAAAGCTCTCCATCTGCATGCGCTTCTCTAGAAAGGTATCTGATCATGCACAAAAGGCAGAATGTGGTTGATAGCAAAGGAGAAGAGATGGTAAGTGTGAGCTTCAGAAGCACCAGGCATAGACCAGACTTGGAGCAATGTACAAGATACCCTCAAGAGACTGAAGAACCCTTCCACGTTGTTTCCTGAGCAGTTCCTACCTATGGCACAACAGAGGACTTGGAAAAGATGTAAAGCCTAACTCTGCCTGTTAGAAGTGCTTGTGAAACAGGAGATAGAGCAGGATAACCTCCAGAGAGACTGGATTCCCAATGGGGCCTTGCCCAATATCTGGAGTAGTAGAGAAACTGAATGAATGAGTGCCAGGAGCGATTGTGGCATAAGCCTTAGAGAGTGTCAGCTGTTTTCTTAGAATAGCCTATTGAGTTAGAAGATTGCTACCTCAGTCCCAATCTACTTCTCCCCCTCCCCAGCTTCCTAAGAAGTAGAATTTAGGGCTTATAGGAATGCAGTTAGGTTACTTGGTAACCCCTCTTTATACAGTTAGGGTATTTAGCAACTCCTGTGACCTCTTCCCCTGCTAACAACCTGCTTATCTCTACCTGCCTTTCCTCTTAGCCAATATCCTGCTCACCTTCAGTGACCTAGAATTAAGAACACCAGGCCATCCTGTTACCTGGCAATGACCTCCCCCTGCTCTGATTCCCTGCCTTACCTAGCTTCCCGCCCTAACCACTATATAACATACTTGAGAAAAATAAAATTTTGCAGCTTGATTAGAAAGCCTGTCTTGCTGCCAGATTTCTTGTGTGTCTTGTCTCTTCATTCCAGGTCTTTTCGGGGTACAGACCCTCATTGCTGCCCTGCTGGCCAGGGCAAATGAGTGAAAGAATGAATAAATGCATTAAAATCATTAACTTATGAGAGTCAGGGAGTATTTATACGTAAAATCAGAAGAGAACAATATCTGTGAGTCTTAAAGACTTAAAGACAGCTCCTTGACGATGTGCAAATGAGCCAGGAGGAAGACTGGGTGATGAGAAATCAAAGAGAGAATAAAAAGTAAAAGGAAGACCAGGAAGTAGGTGAGTAAGAAGCTCAGAGCAGAGATTAAGCCTGGGAAGGCCTGAGTCCTGAAAGCCCATCACTCTGAGGGGTTACCGTCTCACTGGAGGGAGGAGCCAGTTTCTTGGAAGCTTGGCATCAGAGAGTAGCTGCCCTTGGCCTGCTGTTCCAAGCCAGCAACCCTGGATACAAGGAGAGTAAATTCTCACTCCACCTGTGTGTCTATGTCCCCAGCCTCTGTTTCCCTACCTGTGAAGCTGAAGTGAGAATGGGTACCTGGAACCCCTGCCTTCATCAGTCTGTGCCTGACAAATTTGAGTGTTTGACTTTCAGATAGTTTGGGAGTGGACCAGTCTTCAGTCCCTGCCAGATCTCTGCAAGATGGAGGGAAAAACGGAACAGTAGTTAGAGTCCCAGACTACTGGCATCTAGGGGGAACCTTAGCAGCCACATTGTAACAGCCAGCTCCTAAATCAGAATTGACACTTACATCATGCTTGCATCCTTTAACTCTTTACTGAACAGCTATAGTGTGCCCAGGCTCCTGGTATAAGAGATCAGTTCTTTTTAATAGACAGGGTAAGAGTCAAGAACCTTCAAAAAATAATTTTATCTTTTGATTTACCAATGCTGAAATAGGTGCCCAAGTAAGTGGTGTGACCACCCTTATGGCTGCACAACACCATGGAACAGTGAGAACCAGATCATTTTATATGGTGACCAGTCCTTACCCTGAGAAGCCCTGAGATGAGACTGTGTCCCTAAGGCCACAGATTCCACTCAGGCTTCATTATAGCCAGCGAGCGCTGGGCAATGCATGCTACCTCTCTGACTCCCTCAGTCTTCCTGTGTGTAAAATGGGCCAGAAATATTCTCTGTGTCTCAGGGTGACCACAAGGTTCAAAATGCAGAAGTATTCATGAAAATACACTATGTAAGCCATCCGGTCCTCGTCAAGATGCTGGGCATCCTTTTCTAGAACGAGGCTGCCCTCTGTTTCTTCTCCAATCAATTCTAACCCACAGTAAACTTACTTCCTGGTCTTCATTTGAAGGGTTGCTAGAGACCTGACCACAAAGGGTACGAATGTCCAGCTTGGGGAACTGGACATGTGGAGGAAACCTGGCTATCTACAACAGAGACCAAAGTGAGTGGTGTTTAGTCTTAGGTAAGTCTTAGGAAAGACAGGAGTTGAGGTCCACAGAGTCTGGGTGTGAACAGGGGGTGGGGGTACAAGGGAAGAGGACATTCCAGGCTGAGCACAGTCCTGGGAAGGACACTGAAGAGGAGCAGGGCACAGAGGAGCGGCAGCCTGCAGCCCCAAGCACAGTAGGCTCTCCAGTGGGGGAAAGGAGGAAAAAGGAGCAGGGAGGAGCCCTGGGGCGGCCCTGGTATGGCCAAGGATCTGAATGCCTACTCAGTGTCCAGCCTCACAGACCTGTTGCTTGGTTTCTAGTCCGTTTCTGAGAAAGCTGGAATCTGTCCCTTCGCATCCTTCAACAGAGGACTCCTGGCTTGGAACCATTGTCCAGGATGGAGAAAACTGCTGTACCATGGGCCTGCGGAAGTAAGGAAAACTAGGGGGACGTAAAGGGAACACAGAGCACGTCAGTGGGCTCAGAAAGAGGAAGCAATTCTCTCTCGCTTCTGCTTCTGGGCATGGGAAATACCCAGTGATCTCCCGGTCCTCAGCAGATGTCCTTGTCCTCACCTGAAGCCACACAACTGGGCCAGTACTACCTGGGACTCTAGTCTCATCCTCCTTCCAAGTTTCCAAAATGTTACAGAGTCCTGGACACTTCCAAGGGACCCAATAGGTCCACCAGACCAAGGGTTCTTTGAGGAAGGGAGAAGACAGAAAGCTATGAAGTCCTTCTCCACAGGCTTGGTGTGTTGTGTCCAAGCCCATCTGAACTGAGAATGAAAGGCCCCCAGCCCCTGGAAGGAAACAGTAAGGACCTTCCAGGCCCAGCTCATAAGTCTCTCTGCAGTCTGCTATAGACCAACGAGAGAGAAGGAAAAGAAAGAAAGGAAGGAAGGAAGGAAGGAAGGAAGGAAGGAAGGAAGGAAGGAAGAAAGGAAGGAAGACCATAGGGACCTCAGGAAAAATGAGGATAAGGAGAGCAAATAACAGCCAGCGCGACCCTTCCTGCCTCTCTGTTCTGGCCTCAGCATCCGTCAGCCTTGAACTTGGGGCTGACTGATTCAGTGCAGACTTGAACAGCACAGGCCTCTTCCACCTTCCTCCAGCTATAGCTCTTCCAGGGATTATGCTTCTTTAGATGGGACCACTTTATAGCAAACACCCACTGAGCGAAATCTCCAAGTATCAACTCCTCAGAGGAAGCCGTGATGAGGTAGAGGGAGGTAATGTGCCCTATAGTCCTTTTCCTTAGCTGCTTTGTTCAGCCCCAGTCAGGGGCTCCCCACTGCTCCCCACCCCCAGTTGCTTTCTGTCACATAGGCGTGCTTTACACACGAGAGCCCCGGGGATAGAACCCACCCTGTGCCTCATGCCCACCCCAGTTCAGGAGCCTAGACATGTTCACAGTTTTTAGTTATTCTGGTCATGTGTGGTGGGCACTGAGGCTTGTCACTAGAGAGAGAACTGGTCAGAGGGACCCAGCCATAGTGGGGAAGGGTGGGAAATGGCCAAACCAAACAGAGGTGGAAAGGACAAGGTAAAGACCCAAGTTCAGCCTTCAAGGAAGTTGGTCACTGTCAGAAAGGGCAAAAGCCATGTCTGAAAATACCCCTCTAACCACGTAACTCCCTAATGAAGATGATTGACTCTCCAACCCCTCACATCAACTTGACAGAAATGAAACAACAAGAGATCCCACATGACAATCTAATCTACCCTGTGGAGTCTAGGGGGCCCTTTCCATTCTGGGCTGCATTAGACAGGAGAAGGAGGGCTAGCATAGCTATGATTCCTGAGACTCCTGGAATATAGTTTGTAACTCCAGGGGACAGTTGCTTCCCCAAGTCCCAAGAGAAAACTGCTAAGGTTGGTCAGGCTCATCCACAGAGACACAGTACATGAGGGCTGGGAGAGCCCTTGTTCTCCACATTCTGGGCCAGGCTGGGCTTTCAGGGCCCAAGAAGGGAGGGCAGCCCAGGAAGGCTGAAGGAGCTCATGATGACCCTTTTCCCTGTGTAAAGAGAAGAGGTACTAAAATGAGAAGATGCCTTTGGAAGGGCTTTGCTGTGCCATTAATCTTGCCTGACTCTCCCAGGAAAGATTAAGTAATGTATTTGTGTTCTGAGTGGTCCTTGGTGCTAGGCTTGACAGCCTGGACCCTCTTAGGACCTTACTCAGACATCAGAGCCACTGAGGAGTTCTTCCCTCCTACTTACCTCTCCTGACCTCCAGAGAATAGATGCTTCTCCATCAGACTCTTTCATTGGAGAACTTCATGTAGCCACTATCTGGACTGCTCATGTGGCCACTGATGGTGAAGGGTGGCCCTACTTCCAAGTCCTTCAAATTCCTGAGACAGATTTACAATAAAGCTGTTGAAACAGAACCCAGCCTCTCCATGGGGGCTGTCTCCCTAAACTAGAACCTACAAAGTGGTTCCTAGAAGTAAGGCAATCTCTAGGCCACTTACTCATTTACTTATCTTCCAGATGAAGATTCGTCTTATCTCCTAGGGCCAAAGAAGAGGCAGACCCGCCCTGTGGCAGGGAATAGTGAGATGATGTACCCTGTAAGGTCTTCCTGACATCTGTTCCTTAAATCCATGACTTTCTTTGATTGTTCTGTTTTTAGTCCCATACTGTGCCTAAGACATTATTCACAGTCAGGCTTGTCTCCAGCATTAGCAGTGAGATGCTTAAGGACAAAGAATATGCCGATCCATCTATGTATTCTTGGAAATAAATACCATAAAGCTGACTATAATAAAACTTTTTAAAATAAATAATAAGCCGATGGGTGGATGGATAGATAGATATATGAACAGTGTGTAGGTGAATAGATGGTGATGCATGCTTGGACAAGTGCATAGATGCATATGAACATCTATGAATGGATGAGTACATGGATGAATGTATGGATACATGGCTGAATAGTAGAGTATTGATGAGTTGATGGGTAGAGTAGAATAGGTAGGTGGTGCATAGATGAGCTGGTGAGTAGTAGGGTGGCTGGGTGGGTAGATTGATGAATAAGTGGGTAGGTGGGTGGGTTAATGGATGGATAGATGAATGGTGGGTGTAAGGATGGTGTAAGGTTGTACATGAGTGGATGAGTGGGTAGATGAATGGATGCATGGGTGGTATGTTCTTTGCATGAGAGTGAATGCTAACATGATTGTTACCATCAGGGTCTCACATGGTACTGAGAACTTTTCTAAATGAAGTGTTTCTGATTTACTTAGGAGACATCCAGAGAAGGAAGCAGTACATTCTATTTCTGTCTCTAATTCTTTTTCAGTATGTTTAGCCCCCAATGCCCACCCAGATCTGTCTTGGATCTACTTACCGGATTTGGTACAAGTTGAAGACAAAATTAGGCCCTGGAAAGACAGCCAGAAAAGAGAGTTAGGATCTCCAGGGGGAGTGACTATCATCTCTCTGAGAACACATGGTGCTTCCCTCACCTGCTGGCCTTGGGGAGTGTGTGGGGTTCTCAAGGCCCTTCAAGGTCTTTCTAACAGGAGCCCCGATCACCCTAGGGAAGAAGCACTTCTAGCGAACACCTCCCCCCAAAGAACCAGACCTAGGCTTCACCCCAGCTCCATGTTGCAATCCTGTGATTTTAAACTAGGTCTTTTGGAGTACTAGCTCCTCAGACCCCTTCAGAGTCCAGTCAAGACTCTACAGCCAGGGAGGGAAAATGTCTGTGGGTAAAAGAAACAAATCACTCACATGACCTCTCTACAAGTCTCTTACTTGTTGCTCTTTTGTCTTCTGCCTCTATTCTAATTTCTTCTATCCTGTCTATAGTTTCTTATCTCTAATTCTCTGCCTCAATTCCAACTCCAGTTTCAATTTTTCTGTTCTATTCTTTTTCTTGTTCTTGTTCTTTTTCTTCTTCTTTTTCTCCTCCTCCTCCTTCTATTTTCCTATTTCTGGCAGCTTCTCCTCTAGCTCCTGTTTGTTCTACCCAAATTATAAAGACCCACAGAATCTTGCAGGCATTCACCTGAAGGTCACATATCATTTCTTAAGTAAATGATAAGAAACAGAGTCATTCCAACAACTCAGTGCAATAAATCCAGATAGTAAGAAAAGAGCACTTTCTTTCAGTTAACTCCCCAACCAGTGGGCTGCAAACCACAGCTATAAAAGGAGAAGTCTTTTTTTGTTATCTTATCTATACAGGTAGCCTTATAGGACTAAACCAATAAGAGAAATAAGGAAATCATGTGTTATATCCTATACTTTTGAGTGGATAAAACATTTTAGACATTTTGTGATTAGTGGTCATAAAGGCCAGGCTTTCTTGGACTATCTGTTTACTAAAGTGTCCCCAGAGACAGTGCAGCAGTGTGGGCTGCAGGGCTGAGGGCTAGAGGAGCCCATACAACACTCGCCAAGGCACAGTGACATTAAAAGCATATTAAATCTTAAGATATATTTTTTGTTGTTCAGCATGTAACCCTACAGTAGAAAGAGAAGTTTGTAACACTATTTTGAGGCTGTGAAGTTAATTTATATTTTGTAGGTGACCCTGGCCAGTTAGGGAATCTTATCCCTTGGTATCTGAACAAAGGTCATAAAACTGAGGTTAGCAATCTGTGCGGAGAGTTCATTATTGTCCTTGGTACCACAATTAGGTTACTTTGCACTATTTACCTTGGCTCAACAAGTCACCACAACTGGCTACATATCCTAGTAAATAATATTGTATTCTTTTGGTAATAGTTTATCTTAAAATCCTAAATTTGATGTTAGCAATATAACCCAAATGCATAGAGGAAGTTGTGCTTGATAAATGATCAAATTGTGCTGAACTGTGGGAAATAAATCCCAAGTATTTTAACAGATGGGAGTAAGCTACAGCAAGAAACCTAGAGCAAGCAAACCACCAATTCATTCATAAGGCAATAACTCCAGTACATCTTATGTCTTGGTTTAATCCTCCAAAAGAACCCTTGATTCTGATGGGTTGATCTTGTGAAATGAGGCTGCTTAATTACTGAATAATCCTTTGGCTTGTGCAGATTTCCACCACATATGCCTGTCTACTTCAGTAATGGAAGCTGAGGGATGAAGATGTCACTCAGTTGGTAGAGTATTTATCGTGCATGTGAAAAGCCCTGGGTTCCTTCCCCCAACACAGCATAACTGGAGGTGGTAATGCATAGCTGTAATCCTAGCACTTGGAGGGGGGCGTGGAGGCAAGAAGATCAGAAGTTCAAGGTATCCTTAGCTGCATAGGTAATTTAAGACCAGCCTGAGCTAGAGGCTGTCTCAAAACAAGACAACAACAAAAATATAGGTTGTGGCTGAACATGATGGTGGTTGGCGATATTCCCAAAACTCCCTAGGCTGAGACAGGATTGAGAGTTTGATATTCCCAAAACTCACTAGGCTGAGACAGGATTGAGAGTTTGATATTCCCAAAACTCGCTAGGCTGAGACAGGATTGAGAGTTTGATATTCCCAAAACTCGCTAGGCTGAGACAGGATTGAGAGTTTGAGTGCAGCCTGGGATCCATATCAAGGCCATATAAAAACAGGGCAAAAATATAATAACTTCTTCATTGTGTGCAATGTCAAAAATACATACCAAGGAAAAGTACCTTGGTTCACGGTAGAAGCTCAATAGATAATTGTAAATGCACACTTTATGGACATGGAGTGGGGGGAGGACAGGGAACACGAGTAGACACACAGACAGAGACTGACACACAAGAAGCCAGCCTGGCACCCTAGCATTCCAGGTGTTGCCCTTGCTCTTGGGGAGTTAAAAAAACAAACAAACAAACAAAAAATCGAAGCTGGCTACTTCCTCAAGTGGGAGGAGCCTCCATTCCTTGGATAAAGGCTCCGCCTCCCCATCCAAGCCCCCTTTAGCTGCTCAGCCACCCACTCAAATCTTCAACCACTGAACGGCCAGAGGAAATGTTTTTGCATCCTGCTGTGCTGAAAGGCTTGCCATCCTGCCCAGCCTTGCCAGCTCTACTGACGAGGAAGGGCAGAGAAGAGCTTGGGGCTGTTTGGCATGGGGCTCACTCACCGTCCCAGCAGTACCCACGTTGGTACCACTTGGCCAAACTGTACCCAAGGATGGACACGAGTAGCAGTGACAGTCCCACTCCAAGGATCATGCCCAACGTGCTGATGGAGTCCTCACCTGCAGAGAAGTCATGCATCACATTCACAGTACCAAAGCCCTGCACCTCCTTACAACTTCCCTCCCCTTCCTCCCACCGCCCATCAGAGTGATAGTCCTCTAGAAGCCTGTCAGGCTAAGCTGGCTGGATCAGCCCAACCATGCAGTGATGGTAATGTCTGATACCTGAATTATGAAACTGCATTCATGCAGGATATCTTTAGCACATTAATCCAAAGGCACAACACTCCTCTGGCAATGGATATTTCGGAACTGGAATTCCTGAAATCATGGGCATTCTACTTAATAGAAGATGCTCTGCCTTCTAGAAGAAGAGCCTGGGAGGCCTAGCCTCAGCATAATCTTGGTGGCCAGGAGGGACAGCCTAGACCTTCAAGTGCACAGACCATAGGATCCCAGGTCTCTTCCCCTTTTGCAAAGCCCATGTTCCCAGTGGGCAAGGCTTGCACTCCGCTTGCTCTTTGCTCTTGCCACTTTTCCCTTTTGTGGACTGAGCTCTCAGCTAAAGTTATATGATATTTGAAAGGCTAAACCAAGAGCAGGAGACAAAGAGTGTTTGGAAGTGTGCAGGGAAATGAGAGGACAGAACAGAAACAGAGAGTGACCAGGCTCTGAGGCTAATGGTGGGCCCACCATGAGGCAGGCCACCTGTGCCAGGGCAAGGGGGGAATGGGAAGCTGTTGAAGCATGATGGAGAAATAGAATGACTTCATGTCCAAGAGCTGAGGGGCAGGGCCTCTAGGGATGTGTCCATGAGTCTGGGAGGTGTGCTGGTTGAGCACAGACATTGGGAGTAGGCTAGTACACAAAGTCCAGCCCCATCATTTGCATATGGTGGGAGCCATTAGTCCTTCTACCTTTCTAGATTTCAGCAGTTCTGATGATTATTGAGACTAATACAAAATACACAGTTATGGAACAATTAATGGGAATGTCAGGAAAAGAGGGCACTTAGGATTATATCTAAATGCTCAATAGATGTCAGTCTCGACGTCATCATTATCATCATCAGATCTAGCAAATGCTGCAAGTGTGTTATCAAGTGCTTCACTGTTTGCTTCACCCAAGCCACTCTCCTAAGTTTCTTGATCCTTTCTTCCAAGTAAAATAGCCAGGTTAAAGCCAGGCATGATGGCACTTGGGAGGCAAAGATAGGTGGGTGTCTGTGAGTTTAAGGCAGTACTATTTTATATACCAACTTCTAGACCAGTTAGGGGTACATAATGAAAGTCTGTCAAAACAAGAAAAAGATGGGTTATTATTCTCCATTTCTGAAAACAAAATGTCTGTCAAATGCAGAAAGGCGGAGTGTCTCTCTTTCTAGTCATAAGTTTCAGAAGCTCAGACCCAGAGAGAAAGGGAAAGCATTCACAGCCTGCGCAGGAAGTGAGGATAAGACTGGCCCTCCTAGCTATATTACAAAAGAATCCCTAGGCTAAGAGAAAATCAGGAGATGAAGGAAAAGTAGTTGATAATGAAATCAGTGAGTTCCAGAGAGCGGATCCATGCTCTTTACCCAAAAATTGAGCCCAAAAGAAACAGTAGAATTCCTTGATAGAATTGTGGAAACCCAGAGCTAGGAAGAGCCCCAGAAAGACAGTCAGAGCCCACTTAAGAACAGCACCTGGGTAAATGGAGTCTCCAATAACCTTAGCTGCTATGCACTCTCACAGCCTGGAACAACCAGCAGCTTATTACCAAGACAGGCAGAAAAGTCACAGAGCCACTACAGACCTGAAGAAGCCACATGGAGGGACCCCAGGACACCCCTGAAGTACTTTATCTAATTGATGCTCAAACCCTCACCATGGAGATAATGATGGGCATTGGTGTGAGCTGGTGACACCAGAGACACCTTAACTCCTTTAGAACAATCAGGAAGCAGGGATTTCCAACACTACTGAAGTGTCTGTCATATGAGCAATTTAAGACTTAAATTAGACATTAGATTCTAGGAACAACAGACTCACATTTCTGGCACACATGAGTTTGTCAACTGACATCTGTGCCTGCTGATAATAGTGTAAAGATCACAATTGTCTCAAAAGGGATTAGCAACCATACAGAAAGTCTTGGTGGAGTGCATTTTTTCTCTTTGGTACTTCTACAAATGTGTAAGGGCATAGCATTCACTGCCTACCCAAACATTCTGGCACCTTACCTTGAATATCCCAGCCTTCAAAACCATAAGCAACAAATTCCCACTCCTAGCAAATTAGCCAGTGCCAGACACCAAAGGACTGGAGTGGACAGGGAGGCATGTTGAAAAGCACTGAACTAGACATTGCCTCCATGGGGACAAGTACAGGTTAGGAGAATTGTGAGTAACCTTGTACTAGCCCAGGATGCTTCCAGTCATCCCACAAGTAGTGGATGACATCTTTTCTGCATAGGTACAAACTTTACAGAAATAAATAGAGGAGACAGAAATCCTTGCCCTTGTGGAGGATACATTCCAGAGGAAGATGGCCAATGAGCAAAGAGAGAAAGACAGACAGACCAAAAGGAAGAAAGAAAGAAAGAAAGAAAGGAAGGAAGGAAGGCAGAAAGGAAGGAAGGAAGGAAATGATATATGAGATGGTGGTGTGTACCAGAGAAAACACATGGATCAGAAGAGCTAAAACATCCTGTGGGTGTAGGGGTGTAGAGAGGAGAGTTGAAATAGAGTGCTCAGGTGACCCTCGTGAAGGAGGAGTTGATGAGCAGATGCTCAAAAGAAGCGAGAGAAAGAAAATACCAGGTAGACAGCAAGAGTAAAACATGTCCTTGACAGAGGAAGCAACAAATTCCAAGAGAACCATGGCACCCTATCTGGTGAGGAGTGCAGGAATGGAATGGGTGATGGGAGCCATGTTACAGTGCTTCAGAGACACAGGGGGGAGCCAGGCCTTTTCTCTGAGCAAGCTGGGTGGTCAGCACAGGACCCTGAACAGAGAACATCTAAAGACAAAAGACCAAAAGTAAAAACAAAATCCCTACACTCTAACATCCAGGACATAGCTACTTGGAACCTGGTGCCAGTGACATTGGTGTCTTAAATGTTTGGAGCCTGATCCTAGGGACCCATAGTGTACTATGGAAAGGGCCGGTCTTAAAAAAGACAACATTCACTTTAAACTGTACAGTCTAACAAGCTAGTGAAATGCCCATATAGCTAAGCAGACATAGACACTTCACAAATGGCCTATGAAATAAGACCAGATAATCAATCACCCCTTCCCCAAGCTCACACACTGTCTTCTACCAGTATAGTCCAGTAAGTTCTCACTATCTTTTCAAGTACTGGGTAAATTATTTTTAACTTTTACATCACTGGCCTTTCTAGATACTATGTCTGTCACATGAGGAGGTGACCACCAGAGGACACACCAACTCAAAAAGCAAGGTCATTATTCTAGTTTTCCTTTCTGTTGCTTCAATAAAATACTCTGACCAGAAGTGTTTTAGCTGAATAAAGAAAGGTATTTGGAAAGGTATTTGGCTTTTACTTCCAGGTTACAGTTCATCCCTGAGGGAAGTTAGGGCAGGAACTCAAGCAGAAGCCACGAAGGAATGCTGTTGATGGGCTCATTCTCAGATTCTACTCAGCTTTCTCGTACACCCCAGGTGGAGGGATGTTTCCGCCCATAGTGGGCTTGGCCCACCCACACCAATCACCAATCAAGACAATCTCTCATTGATAGGGCCACAAACCAATCTGATCTGGGAGGTCCCCCAGCTGAGTCTCCCACAGATGATTCCGGGCTGTTATCAGGTTGATAGCTGACGTGAACCAGCACAATCATCTATGAGAGAGGGGACAGAGATTCCAGAAGCTCTTCAGTATCTAAAGGTGACCAAGAGCAGAGGGAGGGGGCTAGCCTTCCCATGTTGGTAGCACAGCAGTGACTGTTGAGACTAGGATTTTAAGGGCCCTATCAAAGAAAAATGGCCAGAAATAGAAAACAGCAGGAAAAAAGCGCTGATAGGGTGGTCACTGTCCTGAGACAGGAGGTGAGGGAGGCAGGGAGGGAGGGGCTCCATCTCTGTCTGCTCCTTCTTTGCCCCACCCCCATCTGTGCCTTCTGAGATTGCTTGCAGAACACCAATTACTCTGATTTACCTCTTAATTTTTCCAATATGCCCTTTAATGGATATTCCTTACTTGGTCTCCCCTTTATAACATTACATTTTGTTTTGCTTTGTTTTTTGAGGCAGGGTTTCTCTGTAATGCTTTGGAGCCTGTCCTGGCACTCACTCTGTAGACCAGGCTGGCCTCGAACTCACAGAGATCCACCTGTGTCTGCCTCCCGAGTGCTGGGATTAAAGGCATGTGCCACCAACGCCCGGCTACCCTTAAATTTTCCTGTTATAGCCCTATAGAACAGCATGGTAAGCAACACTGTGGTTATATCCAATCTCCAAAGATTATAAAATTGTGCCCTTCTTGCTTATTCTTTATCTCAAGGAGAAATCATAATTGGTCAGTGTGCCAAGAACAAGTGACTGTGAGTGCTCAGCCCTCAGTGGGACATCTTATCAACCCCCTCAGTCAGCCAACATTGCTGAAGAGGAAGTGTCTAGAACTCCAAATAAAGTACACACTGAGCAAGATGGGCTGTGTACTTCCTGGGAGATGGGTGTGAAACAAGGAGGGCCACTCTGCATTGCAGGATGGACACATGAGCAGCTGCCCCTGCTCCTGCCACCCTGCCTCCACAACCACGATAGACTCAGACCATGAGCTAAAACAAGCCCCTCCTCCCTCCGCTTGCCCTTGCTGGGCATTTTGACACAGCCCAGCCGTGAGAAATGAAGAATTTCCTGGCAAGTAGAATTAGCACCATTTTTCTTTTTCTGCATTCAAAAAATTTACCAAGGATCAGCTCAGATCTTGAACAGTGTTAATGGTAGAAAGCCTTTGCCTGGTGTTTTATTGATTTAGGCTTTCTTTAGTATTTTTATTACACTTGAGTGTGTGTGCCCACGCATGCCACAGTACACAGATAGAAATCAAAAGA